AATGCCACGGCCAGGCTTCGAGGAGCTATCAAAGCTATGCCGTAATCGCCGAACTTCGCCCACCCCGCATCGTGGTCGATCAAGAGCACACAAGTACGTATTCCTGGTAATCAGCATAGTTCCGTCGGAGAGTTTTCTACTGGTGAGACTCGGGGCGTAACCCCAGCCGGCCATCAGCAATCATGCATCATGCTTCGTGCCGTCCGTATCACGATATCGACAAGGAACATGTAGGGTGAGCATTCCGATTGGATGATTCGCCTGTACCTCAGCCTTCCCAACCTCGAGAATTTGATTCTCCAGCCTCATGCCAGCCTTGTTTGGGGTGCCTGTTTGATCATCCTTTCCGACGTTTGAAGGCGTGAGGCAGTGCAAAAGCGGGGGCCACCTGGATGCTTAGGAACTCACGGACGGGGCGACAAGGCTCGCGATTCGAAGACTCGACAGTCACACAATGTGCTCGCTTTGATATTTGACAAACAATATAGAATTTCAGGTATCAGATGTGTTTGATGGGCGGAGAGTTGATTGATCCCGCAAACTGTCCAGTTGGCGGTTTGGGTGCCTTAAAAACGAGGCCACGGTTGAGTTTATGCAGAGCTTTCAACTCTGGTCAGCCACCGAAAGGTACGATCAAGAGCTGCATCCTTTGATGGTTAACTCGTATTTTTGTGATAATTATCATGAATCATCAAAGAGAAACAGATTACTGTGGGTTTTGCTGTCCAGATACTCGAAAGTGGCTAGAAAGTTTGAGGCCGAAACTTCCCCTCTTTAGGCAGCCAATAAGTCCGTAATTTGGAAGCGGGAGAAAAACGAGACAAACGGAGCATTGAGGATTGAGGCTCAGCAAGTCTTGACTCTTGAGCCGGTCACTTGACAACATGAGTGAATTTTGCTCGTTTGGTTTCCGAATCGGGCGAATCTTGATCATGAATACGATGGTAGTAGAATCATTCCCAGTAGGGGCTCCGGAAGTCCGTAGGTCAGTTCTCGAGTGTTCCCCTTGCATTGACACCGGCAGGCCTGAAAACCGCCACTTTGAGCCTCATCGAAATCCACAAAGGAGTACTAATCTGGCTGAACTCCGGAATCGGTGAGGAAAAGGCGAGGCTCTCTGCCGAGGTTTGTCTTGGATAAGTCTCACTTGGCCTTCCGGATCATTTATTGAAGAATGCGAATCGATCATTAGAGAGCTGTCATTTGCAAATATTTTTAGCACTGATGAAATGTGCGGCTGAGGTGACACAAATTGTAGGACAAACTCGGTGGAAACATTATGGCTTGGGAACTTGTTTCAATGGAGATCCCCATTGGGGTTGCAGTATGGACCGCAAGGACACAAAGCAATTGGAAAGCCTCATCAATAATAGTAGTAATAGTTGGGAGATACCAGAGTCCGAACAGTAATTGGAATTTAGGAGTCTTGGACCGAATCCTCCGTGGGATTTGGGGCTCTGCAGTGGCCACTTGAATGCTTTTATGACCATAATTCTGCGTGGCGTTGATCAGCATTCATACCGCCCAGACCCTTTTGTAGTGTTGTGGCTGACTATCTATTTACTGTAACAAGTTGCAATCTTTTTCCCTTTTTTCCTTTTGCTTTGTGAGGCAAAGACAGCCTTTCTAGTCTTTTCCAAAACAGTTAGACTGCTCTCATTCCTGAGCTCCTTAGAAGCTAGCTCGAACCAAGAGTTGATCCATGGGAATTGGAATAATCCACGCGTCATCCAGTGGGCCGATCCTATCCAGATGAACAAAGCTCTCTCAAAGCTTATACGGAGCCTCAAGGAGGAGGCTCAAATCACTTTGTTCATATATTCCACAGCTCTTTCTCGGCGTGTGACATGCAAGATGGATGATTGTGTTTCCACAGTGGGAGATACTCATCATCATCATCATTCACTATCCACACCTCCATCACTGTCATCACATCATCATCACTGCGTATTTTGACCACAAGATTATTACCATACATCGCTCTGTATTCGATATATTACCAATGCTCAGTTGGAGTTATCATCCCTTCCTCCTGCTTTGGTCATGACAGATATGACCAAGAAGCTGGACTCCATCCCATATGATGTGTTCTACCAGATCGCCTCGGGGTTGGACTGCCATGACTTTATCAATCTCAGTCGAGTTAACCAGGCTCTCAACACCTTGATGCGCAATGAGTCTATTGCGAGAAAGACAATCGAGGTGTGTACTTTCCTCGAAACTTTAAAACAAGGGCAGCGTTTTAACATATTCTAGAACCATCTGCTCTATTCCAAGGAGGGACGGGAAGCGGATAGAAGTAGAACTGGATACCGTAGAGCAGTTGGCCGTCTGTTTGACATCAAGGAGGCTTTCGCCACAGCTCAGCCGTATTCAGCCTCGGTTCTCGCCTACGGGTCGGCCTTTCTGTACAGCCAAGGCTCCCTCTGCTACATCTACAACAACGAGATTCGAGCCTTGAATGTGCATGGGGTTAGTCAGGTAGAGCAGGTTTTGAACATTCACAAGGTCCTCTCCCGCGCGATCCCAGGCTGCAATCCGGCGCGACGTACAATCCAGATCTCGCTACTGCACTACCGTGATGGCATCCTGGCATTTCTGGTCGAGATTGGAGAGGTGCGGGAGGCTTGGCTTCTTGCGGTAGATATGCGCAGGAAAACAGACTGCAGGGCCGGTCGGTTACGTCTCCGCACGCCGCTCCCGTCCACACGACGACTTTTTGTCCGACATAACAGGTCCTACCTCTACTACGGAACTCAGTCTGCATTGAGTCATTATGGCTATCCGCAATGGGCGGTCCATTGCGTGGATTTAGCCACTGGACAGCACACCACCGAGAAACCTGTCGAGTTGCACAACTTTGTCGGCAATGAGATTGGTCAGACAGTCTGCTTCGAGGTGCATCAGGACCATTTGTACGCCGTTTCGACCCTGGTAGACTTTGAAGCAGAAGAAGTTGACTGGACCTCCTTGTACATGTGGATCTGTCTGCCCCCTCGCGGGAATACGGGCTCGGTGATGCCCAGCACCGAGTGGCGCCGACAGCATCGCGAAGGCCCAATCAATGACACATGGTCGGACCTTTCGCTTCGAGAGGACGAAGCAACCAACCAGCTCATGATCCTGGAATGTCGCCGCGAATGGCGCAACGGAGGCAGCGATAATTGCCGGACTTACTACATGCAGCCCCTCCCGTCGCCTGCAGAGATCTCTCGGAGTAAGCGACCGGCCAACCACCCATCACACAGCTCGATAGCTGTTGAATTGCCAGACGAACCCTTAACCAAGACACTAGATTCGTCGAACAAGGCAATCTACGAGAGACCCCGGAAACGGCTGCGCAAACACTACCATTCGGAATATCCATTGGACGGTGACGACAACCACGATCACGTCACCCCATGCCAGCGGCGCGACTTCATCCTGGCCAAAACTAAGTTCCGCACCTACAACCTCTCGGCCTCGACATTCGTCGACCTCGTCAACGACCCCCACCCGTCACCGGGAGGCAGCCTCGTTCCCCACGATCGCCTCCGCCTCCGGACCGTCTCCCGCAAACGCAAGAGCCCCATCGACGAGGCAAACAACACCCTCCACAAACCAGAATTCACCGACGACGACGGCAACCCCGTCGAACACAGCGAGGAGCGTTTCGCCTCCCGCGGAATCCGCATGTGGCCGCCCGACAACGCACCCCCGGAGCTGAGCCAGCTGCTCTGCCCGTCCAACCGCCTCGGCAAAATCCAAGCGGTCGCAGACGAACGCTCAATCGTTTACTCGGTCGACCAGGAGGGACTGCGTGGCGGTGACCAAGCCATCATCCTCATCAACTTTGATCCTGTCATCAGGCATCCGGGCCTCAAACATCTGGATCCGGACTCACCGGGCGTCCGGTCTTGGGGGCCCAATGGCAATCACGCAACTGGTATCAGGCCTCCACGCCAGCAGGAGCGGACAATGCATCTACAGTCATCCGTCAGCACAACAAGGACGAACCAGGCGGTGCCATCTGTCCGGGAGGAGCCGGCTATGTATCTAAGCATTAATCATGGATATTGGCTTCGGTGAAACGATTGCACCCGCTTCTGCCCTTCTCTAGTCACACTCATGAGTAATCAAATCTAATTAACCAAGCTATATCTCATCAGTATGCTATCCGGCAAAACGGCGGCAACTGGTCAGCCACCCCGTATTCGCACTCATCATTCTGCAAGCAGCACCGATAGAGGCATACCCACATAACCTTCTGTCTCTCGTACACGCGAAAAGCACCCAATCATTATTAACATCGAGACTGGCACAGCGCCATATCAACCTCATAAGATTATGGCTGTGACGTTGACCCGAAAGTAAGGCCATCCCGGTAGGCTTTGCCCGCAGATGAGGCCATGAAGTTTCGTGCAGCAGAGGTGGTCCACCATGCTACAGAAATAGATGAGCGGCAGATACCTATATCAAAAGGGTTCTCAGCTTACATGTTACCAGGAGAATGGTGTTAGAGCGCTCCTTGATCCTACCCACATAGAGGTACAGTGGCCTGGGGGCCTGAACTAATGGCTGAAGTAGCTACACCCAGGCGCTTGTCTCAAGATCCTCATCGGTGGATACTTCGAACTCAGTCCAGACAGTGATCTCGTGGGTATTATCATCCGGCTGGTCCGCCATGACAGGCTAATGAGGTTGGAATGAGGATTCGAAAGATCAGAAGGTAACTATCGATTCGTGCGCTTAATAAGTGCCTCGACTAAACGGTACTAGGTGAGGTAACAATCATGGTACATACCCAATCATTATATAGGCTGGACATACGACTACTGCTTGGGCCAGCCCATGTGGCTTCGGGCGCTCACTAGCCCAAGGGTCTTCCAGCATGGTGAAAGAAGGCAAGACGCTGTCACACTGATAAGCTCAAGTGGGGACATTTACACGAGTATCCTGGATTATTATTAAATAACTGGGACATCTTGCCGACCCCAGTATCAGAAGGATAAGGTGGAAAGCTATTTTGCGCCCCCGTTGCTGTCCAACTCTGATACCAGCCCGGTTTGCCTAGTCGCGAGCTCCGCCGGATGTGGTTGATATACACCGTGCGAGGGATATTGGCCTATCGCCTGAGCTCCGGTGGCCGGCACACTCTCCAGGCGAGCATATTTACATTGCCGACGCTCCCACAGTGCCCAGGCGATTGCTGCCAAAGCAATGACCCCCAAAGGCACACCAACACCTGCTCCGATAGCCACGTCGTGGGACGAGGGTGATGAACTATCCCCTATAGTACAGGTGGTATTTGATGAAGAATTCGAGTAACCGGCCAGGGCCGCTACTCCTGGTATCACTGCCCCCTTTTCGATCGTAAAGGCATCACCGACTTGGCACCCTAGTGATCCATTATCGTCCACCACGGCTCCGCAGCAGTATTTGGCATTTGTTGTGTCGTAGCCCATGTTGACGATTGGATAGCCGCTTCCTCGATTGGTGTCCGCTGTAGATGGCTCATGGTCAGCATTGAGGTGAACGGACAAGTGGTTTCAAAATGTCGGACAATAGCGAGTCATGGAAGGGGGGATCAAACGTACAGCATGGAGCATAACACGCGGGTCCCCAGTTTATGTCCGTACAGCTTCCACGGGAGAGGGCATTTGGATGAGAATCCTGCAAATAGCACAAGCCATTTGTTAGGCAGACATCTTGCTTGTTGCAGCAGTTTGAGGTTCCATTTGTTCGACAAGGCACATCATCCGGGGCTTCGCTTCGGTCAAGATTATAGCAAGTCGCGTTGGCTGGGTTGACTTCTGCGCAGAGAAGCGCTAGGTAAAGAGGTAATGTACCCGTGAGTGTGAGTTTCATCGTGCCGGTCTCGAATCGCTTGGAGTCGGAGGTCGAACGGGCGGGCGGTGATTTGTCTCAAGATTCAACTGCGAAACACGACGCAAAGATAGCCATAAGACAAGTCTGGCTTCCAGGTATCGCTCAGAAGCGAACTTGCGAAAATTGTCAAGGGTCTGGCAGGCGGATTCGACCGACAGGAAGTATCTCGGAGATAAGGGAAGTTTCGACCACCACCTTCGGCAGCGGTATCTTGACCCTTGTTGAATCAGAAGATTATCGACAAGAGAAGGCGAACCGGTGCGTCCGTGTGGGCTGACGGAAGTGGGCAAAAGGCGTTGGAGTATAAAAGGAGCCAACAATCAGCACCACTGTGGCTCTTGGAGTCCGTGCAGACCCTGCGACTTCAGATCAGGTAATTGCGCTTGAATATCAGATCGGCAGCGACTGAGCCGCTTTGCAATCCCTTTGTCGGTCGATTCGATTGGTGCAATCTGAAATCGCCCCCAAATTGCCCAAGGAGGCCGCAGGCTACTGGAGAAAGCTTCATCCCACAGTCCCACAGTCTGTGCACAGCTGGCAGGACTGTGGAAGGCTGGTGACGATTTCGCATCATTTAAGAAGGCAGCAATTGTGTTCCGAGTCAGGAATCAAGGTTGAATTTATTGAGAAAGTGTCTGTTACTTGAGATGACATGACAGAATTCTGAAGCTCGCAGTCGAGTAAACACAAGAGGTCAGCCCCTGAAAATCGCAAAGTCACACAGACTGCAGATCTTGGCAGGATCAGAATAGCGCAGCCAGAATGTCGCTCCTGAGCCCTGACCCGGGAGCAGTCCTGGACTAGCAAGGTTAGCAGTCGGGAAGATATTGTGGACTAAATATCCGAAGGGGGAAAATGGGGTGGAAGATCAAGGGTGATCAACATTGAACCAGAAAGAGGATTGATTGTATGATGCCTGAGGCACCGCCAATTTCATCACCGTCACTATCTTGGCCTAGAGAAAGATCATGCCAGCAAGCCATTTCGCACAAATTGGCAGATTACTTTCGGATGGATCTACTTGTTACGCTAGATTATCCGACGAAAGCGAAATACCATGAATCGTTGGACGCTCATTTCAACTAGACGATAGGAATGACCAACCAGAGCAACCACCTCCGACTAGGTCAAGATGATGGTTCTAGCCCAAGACTGTTCTCTGGCTCCTTCATCTCTCATATCAACCAGAAGCTTTCCTCCACGATATCAACCAATGCCTCAATCTGGTGATTGGAACCATGCGTCGTCCTTGCGGCAGAACCCAGTCAGCTTCCCATACCTCGCAGTTTATCTCAGATCGTACTTACCACTAAGCTCCTCCCTGACTTTCAAGCCGTCCTGGCACATGGCACATCTTCATACGAAGGGAACACCAAGCCGCAGGATAACCTAGTAGGCGGGTGCAATGTCGGGCTGCTGCGCCTAACCACATCAGCAAGGACACAATAGCCACCAGGAAAGCCATCGAACCGCATATGGAACCGCAATAGCCGTAATATGCACCTGCGCAGATCCGCTCACAGGCTCACACATCATGCGAACCGAGTCGACAAACGAGATGATCGGGCCGACGGGGAACTCTGGACCGCAGATCTATTCTCGGGGTGTTACCGGGACGCCCACAGTAGTATACAAGTGAAACATTGAGGAGGGGATACTTACCACCAGTTGCATAACGTACTCATCCGCATTCTCAAGACCGTCGATATCTAGCTGTTTCGTCCCGTAGGGCGTGATCTTGAGTTCGATACAGGCGGATAGGACGCGAGTAGTGGAATCAAGGAGATGGAGTCTCTCGCAGTGGGAATTGATTTCGACCCAGAGCTGGCGGAGCTCGCCGTAGAACTGTGTGTTTTCAGTCGCTGTTAGTATTTCCATCTCGATACCTGGGATGAGATCTTACGTTGATGGTGACGGAGGAAGTATTGGTAGCCATCTTTCAAGGGTTGCTGGAGGCACGTGATGTGTGATGGTGGTGTTAGATGGAGAAGGATGACGTAGATGGGCATGAGATGTAGCAAATGGAGAGAAGATACAGTGAATTTTAGTATTGTTTACTGAAGGGTGAATGAAATGAGGTAAGTGAATGCAGCTCTACTAGCACCTGGCTTCTACATGACTGTTTAGTTCCGGAACCTGCTGTAACTGACATTGCTCGTTGTCAGTGTTTATGAAGAACAAGAGCCATGTGCTTTGACTTCTGTGTCTGTCACCAGACTCTATTATTTATCTTAAGAATAGGACTCTTGATGGGTTCGTGCTTAAGGAAAGCAGGACCATCAGGTAATTTATAAAAGCCCAGGTCTCTGGCCCTGCTTAGCAGTTGAGAGTAAAAATAGTGCTTGTATATCGCGCTCTGGATCATTCAATCTTCTACTAGCGCAGACTCATTACGGACCTTAAGAAACGTGGAAACCGCTGATAACAGTATTGGATGAGTACTACTGTTAGATAGCAGTGCAGCACTGACATTAGACGCTCATGATGAGGACTACCTGAGATTAACCGAGTTAACCAAAACACGGAACTGGAGTAAGCCAAAACCCAGATGTAGTCAGCTCAGGTTCCAAATTATTACCCATGCACCCGTGGTAACTATTAAAGACGCATGCATTCCACCAAAACCCAGAAATCAAGTTAGCCCGTTTAGATTTAGACCTGCTTCTCCGCGGTCTCGGTAGTAGCAGCAACAGGTCCATCTTTCTCGGAGTGGGCAGCGATCTTTAGGTTTCCCTCAGCAATCTCCCGTTCGAGCTCCTCGAGTCTGCTGCGCTTATTGAGCTTGCGCCAGGCAGGAAGGCCACTGTCAAAGAGTTCGTCCATTTCCTCGAGAGTGAAACCCTTGGTCTCGGGAGCTGTAAGGAACATGTGAATGAACGCTGCGGTATTGAAGGCGGCGAACTGTAAGAACTGTCAGTTGACTATTCACGGTTTCAAGATCTCCACTCAAGGTTCACGTACGACCATGTACATCTTCCAGTTGATCGACCACAGCAGAGGTGGGACGAAAAGAGCAAGAAGACAGTTCCAGATCCAGTTCGACGCGGTAGCGAGAGAGACAGCCTTGGCGCGAACCTTGGCCGGATAGATTTCCGCAGGGTAAGTCCACGAAGTAGGACCGATGGTTGTCGCGAAAGAGCAGACGAAGAGGTAGGAGAGGGCGATGATCGCTTTACCAACGGCGGGATGGTCGGACACAGTCCAAGAAATGGCATCCAGCTTGGGGTCTGTATGAGGGTTGGGCTTGCCAAACCCAGCCTGTAGGCCTCCTTCAATGTACAGGAAGATAGCCTGCAGAGCAAAACCAATCAGGATGGCAGGACGACGACCGAATTTGTCCAGGTAGAGGATGGCGGGCAGGGTCAAAGCGGTATTCAGGATATACTGAATGGAAGCGGTCAGGAGAGGGCTTCCAGTTCCAGTACTCTGCATAATATACACGATGTAGTACATCATGACGTTCATACCTGTAGCAGCCAACCATTAGTTTGTGCCGCATCTTATTTTAAGGTCACGATCCACTCACCGCACAACTGAGACCACATCTGCAAACTCATACCAAGGAACACACGCTTGACAATGCGAGGCTTGATCAGTTCCTGGTAGCTAGTAGACGCCTGCTCACGCTCCAGAGCCAAAGCCTCCTCGATTTCCCGATATTGAGCCAGAACCTTCGGATGGTTGACGTCCCCGTTTCCATGAAGGTTTGCAAGAACCTCCATAGCTTCCTCCCAGCGGTCTTTGCTTGCAAGCCAACGGGGCGACTTGGGGAAGAAGAACATGCCGACGAAGAGGATAAAGCCAGGCACCATCTGGATGCCCCAGGGAATGCGGAAGGCAGCGGTACTCTGAGTCGGGTTATCGGGACCACCATCGACATTGCTAGCACCGTATTGCTTGTCAATCGTCAGTGAAATATGTCTCCGTATGGGAAAAGAAGCTGGACACTGACGATGAAGTACTGGATAAGGATACCCCAGGTGATGGCCCACTGTTGGAGGGATATAACGCGGCCTCGAATTTCCTTTGGGGCGATCTCTGCCTGGTAGACTGGAACCATAGCCGAGGCGATACCGACGCAAAGACCAGCAATGACACGACCGACGACGAGGAGAGCGATGCCATTGGAGGCAGTCATGAAGCTAAACCAATTAATTGACAGGATAGATGCAGATATGCGGTTAACCTACATGGAGCCAAGAATCCACAGGAGAGACGAGAACTGGATTGTGGTGACACGAGAGTAGCGATCCGCAAAAAAGCTCGAGCACAGAGCACCAATAAGCGAGCCAAAGGGCATGGCACAGGTGATACCACCCTACTATTTGTTAGGGGAAGGGGATCGAGATAGAGAGCTGAATGAAACTTGCCTGCTTATACTGCCCACCGCCAACGCGGAAGTAGTTCACATACGCTTGAGTTCCCAGGACACCTGCGATTGTCAGACAGATGCTGACCAGAAGAAGAACAAAGAACTAGACTTGCCACTCATGGAAGAAATATCATTCCCAAACAAATATCCGCCTGGGGAGAGTCAGTCAGGCGTCAACAAGCGATTCTAGGCAGGGAGATCCTCACCCAAGGTGATGAAGCCACAGAGAAAGTAGACATTGTAAAACTTCTTCATATTTGCAGCCAGCCGTCAAAAGAAGCTTCGTGAGACAGACCAGCCACTGTGAGAGGAAGGAGAAAGTTGGGGAAAACAAAGAGAGGCCAAGGAGAGAAGAAGTATCGAAGATGCGAGTACCCTAGAGCAGTTAAATACTTCGAAGCCGGCACGTGAATACAACAGTCCCAAAGTCGCCTGATTCATCAGCCCCAGGGTGAATGCCACCAACGATTGGACCACATCCATGGAGCACAGCAACATCCCAGTACTACCCTCAGAACGATGTACCAGGAATCGGACCAAAGAGTGCAAGTCTCTGGACTAGTACGACCCTGGCCAAACGCCACCAACATCTTGTGGACGGGAGCACAAAATCGAGGATTGCGATGTGCGGATAGGCTGGTACTTGGATCATGGGGGCTGTCGCTCAAGCATTTCCCCCGCAATCTACCCAAGTTTACGTGTCGGATTTAGGCTTGACTGGCCTAAAGGAGGAGCTTAGGACTCTGGATGGATATGCCAGCATGGATGTTAGAATAATATGACCTATCCACGTGGTGAGCTGTCTTTGCAACCCTGCTGCTTACCCCAGACACAGAACAGACAAAAAAAAGCAGAAGGCAGATAGGGCCCTCTTCATCTCCATCACATCCCCCATTTCACTACTTTATCAGGAATAAAGTATTGGCCATGGACCCTTCCATTAGCTCCAAGTGTTGGAGATGGGAAACACTGACCTGCGCGGGGAAATAGACACCGAGAAGCGACATGCATCCCAATCCTCCCAATCTATCTCCTCCACCCACGGCCTGACTATGACTATGGATAATGGATCGGCACAGAGCAGACTCAAGCACGGACTGCCTTGTCACTGACCAATTACCCTGACAAGCCAAGGTAATCCGCTGAACGCTCGGGTTATTGGCCGACGAGAGACAAAGAGTGCAACCTCGACTCGAGGATGGCGCGTGATAGGTGGAAGTTGCAGTCATCCATGGAGTTATGATCCAAGAATCATGGCTCAATGTCACGGTCTCATTCTCGCATGGCATCTGCATCAGCCGGCGTGCTTGGCTTCCCACGTTTCCTATTTCAATGCGGAGGGGAGATTTGATGGACATATGACCGGGTTGATCGGATGCGATATTTCAAGCATTAATATTGTGTTTGTTCATGTATATACAGGTATTGCTCTTCATCTATATACAAGAAAATAAAAGAGACTAAATAATAGAAATCAAACGACACCAAACGCCGCTCATGTCGATATTTCCAGTTTCATCAAACATGTCATGATTCGTTTACAAGAATCCCTTCAGCACGTCAACCAATATTGAATTGTCGTCGGGACGATCCAGAAACTCGGCCAGCGAACGACTCGTCAATTTACTGCTCAGAGCTCCTCCCAGACTGCTCAAGTTCAGATTCTGCAGTTCTGATAGCAGACTGCTCGTGCCTTCCGACGACGATGAGTCGGTGATGTTCATCTGGTCGAGGATGTTTGTCCCGTTCTTGTTGAAAATTCCCCGGAGGGTGTTGATCAGCAGTCCGCCGATAGGAATCTTCGCGCTCAGGGTCAGATTCCTCATCACATTCGTATAATATGGCACCTCTACGCCGTCATAAACGACCGATTTGCCAACCGTGTTGAGAGTCAGATATCCGTTGGGGAGGGAGTCTTTCTGGCTCTGCAGGACGGGTCCAAGGTTCTTCAGCACAGTTCCAAGATCGATTCTGCCGCGGACGGGATTGGAATGGTTGCCCGGTCTTAGGATGAGGTTATCGATCGTTGCGTTGCCGATGACGAGATCTCCGCTCTTAAGGTCCAAGACCGTTGTGCCCTCCCAAGTGTTAGTGATGCTTGACAACGGATCATACTATTGACTCACGATTTCCAAAGTCATGACCGAGGGGTTGGGCAAAGTGGCGTTGGCGATCAGGTTGGTACCGTCTGATTCAGGAGGCAGAAGCAATTGCGACCCTTCGATGGCAAATCCGGCGAAGCTATTCAGGGCTGAGCAGGTCAGCAAGCGATTTCGGTACTTATACAAACGACTCGCTTACTGTTTTGCTTGATCGTCTTGTCCATCGTCACACGAGATTTAAGTTTGCCCAGATATGACATGGTAGTCCCCTTCAAAGACAATGGTGCATGTTCCTCAAACACCACATTGTGCACATATTTAGCCCACTCATCCGCATTGAGCGGAGTGAATTGATTGGTGACTCCCAAAGTGGTGTTTCCCGAGATGGTTGTCCCATTGAGGTACAACTTGGCCCAGGTGCTGTTTCCGGGCTCGTCCCGGTTGAAGAGGTCTAGAGTGATAGGGTCAATTCGCACTGGGAGACCGATGGGCAATTTGAGTGCAGACTGCATAGTGAGGATTACCGAGTCTGGACGAGGTTGCATGACCTTCGCATCGACGAGAACAAGTTTGGAATTGTCGACAACTCGTTGAGAAACGGCGGGAAGAATCACCAAGAAGCTGTTCTAATGTCAGCAAGGTCACATTTGTTGTGAACGTGGGCGCCGGGGCGGAAAGACGAACAAGACTGGGAGGATGATAGCGAGGAAAATGATCGAGAAGAAAATATAACAACACCAGAACCGGGCCCAGTGGCGACGGATGGCCTCTTTCTTCGTTCTCTGTTTCTTTTCCAGCGATAAAGCTGTCTCGACATGTTCGATCTCGCACCCATCTCCATTGGCCGGGGGTAACGGCCCTCGATGGATACCGAGGGCATACTTGGCCCCTGCAGCGCTGAGATAGGAGGGCTTCTCTTCCATCTCGGCCATGGTGGCAGTGATACGAATGGCAAGAGTCTAAAGATAGACTAGACCTTGAAATCCGGGGTAGGCGATAGGAATGGATATAAATGAAGAAGACGTGTTGGAGGTGAATCCGAAGATCTTCGCCTCCAAGCCCGTCAACCTCAATCTACCCCATGCTCGATCCGCACGAGAGTCATAGCCGATTGCGGGCCACACGATAATTTCACTTTATCGACTAGCTCCGAGTCAAATTGAAATATTTGTTATTTCCTGCGCCGTTTCGCTTAGCTCTGGGCCCAAGTGCCCCCGGGCCTTGCTGTGTTGTATTGAGTTTGGCCACTTTTGTAAAGACTTAAGCCCTTTAGGGGGTTCCCTCCGCATGATCGACACTGCGACTTCGGCATCTCCCCCTGCAGCCAATCCCGGCGATTGATTAACAGTTCACATGCGGCCATTGGGATGAGGATCACCGCAAACTATTAAAGAACCGCGGTTGTTAATCATTACTGATAAGAACTAGGAATAACAAGTCAGGTGGATGGGGGGAAACAGTACGAAAGTGGCTTCATTGTTGGGTCGTTTCGACTCAAGCTTTGCCCGCGAGTCCCACAGACACTGGAGAAGTCCGAAAGTTGGGGAAACGGAACTCTCCCAGATTAGGGGGTGGATATGCGGGGGATGAGAAAATGACGATAATCGTCGGATCAGAAGAATGGGCAACTGCAGAGGTCTGCATGTGCTCTGAGATCATTTCTTCAGTGACCTGAGATGAAAGAGCTGAAAAGTGTGTGGTGTGATGATCGCATGAGGCTTCAGGTTGTCTCATTCTAATTCCACAGTGAAGTTTCCTGAACCCTTGCAGCAACGCCATCACTCAACACTGGGAGACTGGTTTACAATTAACCTCTTCAAATATTTTTCTGGGGTAAAGAACTACAGCATTGCGTCAAAATGTCCCTCGACGAAAAGCTCCCCGAGGCAAAGTCACAAACACCCACCACCAACAGCATCAAGTCAGAGACTCATCCTATCGATGCGCTGGATAACCTCGAAATACTCCCCCAAATCCTCCAAGAGGGCATCCTCTTCGCTGGATCAGGGTCAGCGCTCCTCCTACAAGCAGCCCTGCCCGAGATTCGCAACGATCACGACAAAGCCAGCAACGGCCCCAATCTAGCCACCGAGCTGGGCGATGCCTTGCAAGCAATGCTAAGCTACTTCTCCTGCCTGGTCTTTGGCACACGAGAGGAAAAGAAGACGCTGCTCGAGATGCTTAGTCGAGGACAGCCTCCTCTCCGCGGCAGCGAGCATTACTACGCCGCTGCGCCCGACGTCCAGCTCTGGATCGCGGCGACACTCTACGCCACGGCAACAGACTTCTACCAGCGCATCTATGGCCGGGTAGACTACCGTACGGCCGAAAAGGCCTACGCGGAGTTTGGTCTTCTAATCCACGCTTTGGGCCTGCCTTCAGGCGTCTGGCCCGAGACGCGCCAGAAATTCTGGAAATACTGGGACGACCATATCGAGCGGTTGACGGTCACGCCGGACGCGAACAAGTTCGCCAAAGATCTGCTGCATGACAAGGCTGTGCCGCGGTGGGTGCAGATGCTCAAGCCGTTTCTGCGGGTGGTGACGATCGAGATGCTGCCGCCGAGGATTCGAGAGGAGTATGGGCTCAAGTCTACGATGGGGTCGAGGGGGTTGTACCGTAGCACGATGGGGTTTTCGAATGCGGTCTATCCTGCGCTGCCGGTGTCGATGCGGTCCTATCCATTGCGGTACTATCTGAATGAGTTGAGGAAACATTTGAAGGTTGTTTGATCGGGTCATGTCCTGTAGATACTCCATGTGCTCTAACAATATTCCAGCAATGAATCTGCTTGAAGGATCCTATTCCTATCCTCTCGTCAACCCCCAGACCTCACTGATTCCACAAGCCTGCACAGTTTCGCTCGAGTAAGAGAAACAAAAGACATTGATGCAAGTGCACTTTATCCCAATTTTATGAAAAGCAATCAAGAGTCATCCGTATATGCACATATATATCCATGAGAATTCATCACTCATATATACCCATGACCCCATAAAATCTCTACGTCAACGACGCCAACAACCCACCCAGCAACTTCTCCACAGCCGAAACCAGCTGCACACATGTCAGCATACAACCTTATCAAGAAAGGAATAAAGCAAACATACCGGCGTCGCATCCCCAATTAAGGTCGATGTCTCATTCACAAATGTGGGTGTCAACAGCGAGTGCGCGTTATCAATCACATCCTGGAGTTTGTTGACGTTATCGCCTGAGAGCAACTTGGCGATGTTGGACGGGTTGTCGCCGCCCAGGAGCACGGCGCCGCCTTTGACGATGGTTTGGAGGTCGTTGAGGGTGTCCTCGCTTAAGAGCTCTTTGACGCCGTTGAGGATGGTAGGGAGGTCGGAGAGGAGGCCGCCTGTAGATTGGGGAGCTGGTGCGGCCACTGGGTTTGGGTTTGGGTTTGGGTTCGGGTTGGCGAGGGCGAGGGGAAGGAGAGGGAGGAGGAGGCTTGAGAGACGCATATCTGTCAGGGAGTGGTAGCTTGTGTTGTTGTTGTCTGTTTGATGTAAGAAAAGAAGTGTCTGAGTGGTTTGGAGAACAGTAGATACTCCTCTCGACCAGAGGTAAGTATATGTATTTGCTATCTGCAGTTAGTTAACTATCATGAATACGAGATCTCACATTGCAAGAAACAAGCATCATGATTACCCCGCTATCTACTGTGAAATCCAGCTCCATCGCCATCAGCTTCATCAAACATGCGCTAGGCCTATCTATGGAGTATGCCAGGAGTAAATCCCCGATTCGACATGTCTTGGTCCCATCCAGAGTCTAGCCCTGCAGCTCTGGATCTGGACAAGTACTTCCGAGGCTGTAGATATTTCACTCGGCCCTTACTTCATCGTCTTACCAAGCCAACCTAGGATAATGACTTGGTAGAAGTGAATCCGAAGATAAAGACGTCAATCTCTCAGTATTCATGTGATCAAGGTTCAGTCCGTCTCCAGCCTCCGAACTCCACTCCCCACAGTTGCCTCCCTGCCGCAATGCATTCCCTTTTCGGTAGCTTGACGCTGGTCCCTGGATGATGTGGAGATAACCCCAAGACATTGACCCGAATATACGCGGTTTTCATTTACATAGATTAATGGTTCAGGGTCTTTTGAGCCACATACGTAGATATGTCAATCTTTATTCATCCCCGCGTCTGGTTGGGTTCTACTTTATAGTACTTGGATTCGCGGTGAGGATCACAGGTCTGGATTATCACGTAGTCTCGAGTGGATTCGACCATGGTGAAGCTACTCAGGCTAGAGCGATGGGACCGTTGATCGTTGACAATTCGAGTGTAGAGACAGTTAGGGACCTCGGGATCGGAGACTCATGTGAAAGTCTGTCTATTCTTCTCAAGAATTGGCGCAATCTCAACTGTCATTATTCTATTAGGCACAGGATGAACAACTAAGGTAGTCTCAGTGTACTCCGTATTGCTCAATGCATGCTATCATCATGCCCGATTCTATTGTCTACCCTGTTGTAACCAGTATGTCTTGTCAAAGAGCGCATGAATTCTCCGCATCTCCACTAAAGCTTAACCGAAGAGCTATACCCGTGGATATTCGACTAAACGTGCCATTTTATTACCCAACAGACTAAACATCTAGTATCATCCAAAGCATAGACTAGTTCACAGTCATAGACATCATCCATATTCCGTACTTTCGTAACATTGCCACTCGTTCCTTGATTTTACCTCCATCGATGTGGACCGCTGATCACATTCACATTCACATTCGCTCGTCCCTCACAGAACTAACGCCAACCCCAGAACCCCCATTCCCAC